CCGTCGGCTCCTCCTAAATACATATATCAAATCATTATTCACAATTTTTAGCGTCTGTCTTCGTGCATTGGATAGCGCACAGGCAGCCCGTCAATAAAACATGTTCCGAAGGTCTTATCTGACACGTGTTTCCCTCTTCAGACCAAACGTTTCCCACTCGTCTTCGCTGATATGTCTAATGGAAACAGCATTAGAGATCAACTCACTGAATGTAAGAATTTGAAATTCAGTCTTTTCAAATCTAAAAATAGAACAACAAATAAAATGACATCACGTTTTTGTTTGTGTGGCAATGGAATCAAAGAAAGAAAGGAAGAAATCAAAAAGATGTAGTAAAAAATGGAATTTCCGGACAGGACATAAAAAATGAAAAATCCGTAGCGAAAAGGACTGAAATATAACGGTTGTCAGCGCTGCTTGCAGATGAATATTTCTGGCTTTTTCAGTTTTATACATTTTGGGTTACCTGTGGAAAATTAGCCTACTCTGGCTTCATAGCTCCACCTCATTACTAGTCCAACTCTATTACTGATTTAGTACAGGAAGCCCATTATTTTAAAAGAGGAAAATGATGCCAGCAGCGGAGGCTAGGTTGGGACAAGAAATAGCAAAGAGAAGAGGACTAAAAAAATAGCAAAGGATAAAAAAATGAGAGAATACCTGGATATGGTCTCACTAGTTATTGGYCCAACTGCAACAGCAACCTGGTGCTAAAGAAAATTGACAACTAGTGAACATCAGACTCAAACCATATAATTTATAGAGGTTATCTTCACCATGCTTAAATGCATTTGAAATAATAGACATATTCATGGCTTACCAAATCATCAAGCTTTGTTTCTTCAAAGGTCCAATTGTCAACTTTTTGACCATTAAGACAGAGTGCACTATCGCATGTTATCATCTGAAATAACCAAGTTAAATAAGATAAATAATCAAATATATGTAAAATGTGGATATGACATTGTGACGAGAAAAAAAAGAAGTGATAAAAAAAAGAAGTGATATCAATAATTCATGATTAAAATTGACTACGCAAATTCCCAACCTGTTTTGAAAGCTTCTGTGTTTGTAGGTTAAATTCAATAGCTTGAAGGTCATGGCCTATCCCAACACCAACGGCTTTTACATAACTTTCTTTAAGACACTACAAAAACATATGCTTTCTTATCATCAAACCTTATAAAACACTAAAAACATTTTCAATCATGGGCCTAATCAATCCATAAGTCATCACAAAGTTGGTTCTTGATACTATTGATGTTATAATATAGTTTTGTTTAGAATATTCTGAGCTCAATGTACTCAATAACAGCTTAAAATCAATCAATCAATCAATCAATCAATCAATCAATCAATCAATCAATCAATCAATACTTCATACCCAGTGTCTGTAAAACATTTCTAATTGTTCCCATTCAGTTTTCTCACTTTTAACTGTAAGCCACTCAGCTGGAGTAAACTGTTTTCTCATAAGTTGAAAGAAACCAGGAACGTCTGTGCCGCTGGGATAAACTGTCTTCATTACATCAATACCAACTGTGAATTGATATCACGACACCATCAGGTTAATATCAATTAATATTTATTACTATTATTCAATATATAAATCAATACCTTGTCTGCATTGCTCAGCTGCTAGAACTGTAAAATCTCCCTGTAAAACAATACATCTCAAACACTGTCTTGCAAAAAAAAACACAGCACTTTCAAGCAGTAACCTTGCTGTTGCATGATGGCAATGTGCTTGTAAATCATTATTTTCATTTGGCATCACTAGAAGGTGAGGTTCTGTTTTGAGGCTATTAAATTTTTTCTACACTCAGCAACCTTTTCAAGATGGACCATGTAAAGTGGGATATTACACTAATTTGTTTATCATTCATTCCAAAGCTCTAGACACTACCGATAATTGAAAAATGTTAGGAAACTAGCAATGAATACCTGGTGTGAGATATTAAAGCTAAAAGATTTTAATCTTGGATCTGTTACTTGATTTTCCTGGAACAAGCCAATAAAAGAAAGAAGATAAGGGTGTTGATTTATATTTCTAGTACTGTCAATTCAAGAAACACAGGAATCCCAAGTTATTGTAGGTGTCAAATACTTGTGATCGATTCTTACGAGAACTGGCTTCCCTTTCTCTGTTCTACCAAGCTTCACGTCACTATACGGTATTGCCATCACATCTGAGATTACTTTCCTGAGAAGAAGTCTTCCTATCTGCAACAGCAAGAAATTCTCATCTACCGTAAATCTTAGTAGGGAGGGGGTTAAGTTAAGCTTATATTAATTCTATAGTTCTTTAAAAAC